GGTCACATGACTGAACGCTCTGTAATTCAGACTTACACATGTCATGCTGTGAGCTAAACTCTTTATTTACCCTTTTTCTCTGCAACCCAAAAAGCATGCCTATTTCAAGAAATGTGCCAGCTGTAAATGTTTTCCTTCTTGAATAGTTTTCCCTTAAACAGTCATGCTTTACTTTTATTTACATATTTTCAAGGTTCATCCTTCTATCTGCTCTGCTAATTTATATATCAATCATTGTGATTCATTATCAAATTCCATCAACATTGTTCCATAGTTTGAATATAATATTATTGAGGAAGGCAGACAGTTTGATGTTATCTATAGAGACATAAAACCTTCGATCAATTGAACCGTGAGACTGATGAGAAAATTGTCTTCATTCTGGTTTGGTTGTTCTTTACTTCTGTGTCTTCAGAGCTACAACTGTCACAGGAAACAGCTGCTTCAGGTTTGTGACCATTCACCCTCTATGTTCAAAATACCATCAGGAGTACCACGGGGATGTCATCTGGGACCAATTCTTTTAATGTCTTAATAAATAATCTACCACAGGTTTTGGAGTGCAGCGAGATTCTGCTGTATGCCGACGATGCCAAGATTTTCAGAGAGGTGTGCAGTCTCAATGCTGTTGTTTGTCTGTTGCAGAAAGGCTTGGACAGATTAAATGTCTGGTCACATTGTAACAACAATTTCTCCTTTACATTCTAGAGGGTTTAGCACAGGTCTCTGAAACAATGGCTTAAAGGCTTAACCATTTACAATCACGACCACTGTGTTATTCTTAAGAGGGTACATTTGGCATCCTTATGTGACAGAAGGGTGATGTTTGCTTGCATGTTCTTTTACAAGCTAAACTGTAATGAGATCGAATGCCATGGACTTCTGTCCTCCATTTCCCTCAGGGTACCTAGATTGAGCACAAGGGTTCACTCCCCATTTCCTTGACATACTGCAGGACTAGGGTGGGTGAAAACACCACTTTTAACTGGGCCCTTAGGAGTGTTAATATTCTTCTTAGAGATGTTTTGGCATTTTGTATGATCTCTAAGTCTCGTATCAAGAATAGAGTTGGAGCTGATAGTGAAGAAATACTGCAGGGAAATGCAGGATTATCACTTAAGTTTTCTCATAAATTGCGCTGCTACATTTTTATTACTTTATATAATACTTTATATTTCTCGTATATTATTGTTATTATTTATATATTTTTATTTGGTTCTAATCTTCCTTTCACATTTTAATCACAATATTCAACTTAATATGGAAAAGGTTAATAACTTGCTTGTCTCTTTCTGTGAATGTTTGCTATAAAACCATTTGAGAATTGGTTTTACTAATTGGCTCTTGAGTATGTGATGATAGAATACAAGAAGATTTGTGTATCTTTTATTTTGTTTAATTTACAGGTGCAACTGATGGAAGTGGTCGTGGATGGGGCACATACCTTCATTTATGGCCAAGTGCACCATAAAGAATTTTATTGGCTACATATCCCATCTAATTTTTTATCAAACTGTTTGTGATAAGATGCTGCTTGTACAAGTAAGGACATACAGACTAAAGTTAACTGTTGTGATATGCTTCACTCTAGCACCGCCGAAGCTCAGTAAAAACTGAATTTGTGGGAGAACAGGATATCTCGCAAAGGAACTTTGAAGGAGAAAGTGGATAGTTATCACACTCCTACGGAGGTTTTTGTTGGGTTAATGCCCTACCTGAAAACATCACTTTTTTTAAATTAATTTACTTCTGCCTTTAGAGGCAACTGTATATGAATCACATTTCTAGAAGTTGTAAACAAGTAGTAGCAAACAATGCCACCATTCTAGCTCTTAATATTTGTAAAAGGGACTTTGACAATAAGAAACATTAAGGGGTCATAAAGATACAAATCAATAATGGCAAGTCTCTACTATAATATACCTTGTAAGTATTTCTCAGAACTTGGAAGAGTTTTAATGTCCTTTGCCAAAAAATTCTGAGGACAACTGGGTGTGGCATTATTCCATATTGTTATTCAGCTTAAAATTCAGTAAAATGAAGTAATTTCTTCAAATTTTTCGTGCATGTATCCTCCTAAAATGAGCTTGCAGGAAGCAATTTTTATGGCTTAACTTGTTTACTTAAAAGTGTTTCTCTTTATTGTACTACAAAGATCAGCTGTCTGAATGAACTTCAGAATGGAAAAGTATGTAAGAAATGAGTATTATATGCATAAATAAGATAAAAATGCACAAAAACTAATTAAATTTAATTTCATATATGAAGTTTAGAAATGTTCCAAGTAGCGAAGCTAGTCAGTCAATTTTTGAAGAGAGTATGTCTTTGAATAATTAAAATAAAATTTTAAAGAAATAAAAGTACTAAGAGAATGGTTTCTGTGTTTTGCATGGACTGCAAGATAAAGTTAAGTGATAATGGGACTTGTATCATTGCATGAAACTTACTTCATTATGTCAAATACTGTAAATTTCATTAGCACCCAAGCAAGATGCACCCAGAGAAGATGTGCAGTGATAGGTTTGCTGAGAGCATGTATTAGCACTGATTAAAATTCTAAATCTTCTTTCCAGAAAGTTGTTGTGTAATATTTAGAATATCCCTTCAATTCAGTACTGGGATGTTGCTCTAGCAAAAGCAAGCATTCCAAGAATTATTATGTAAGCATTTATGCGATGGAATTATATTATTAATATTATTCATGCCAAACTTTATTAACAAGGCCAGTATTTTGTGATTTGCATGGACATTAAACACTTAAAGTGAATAGTCTAATATTATTTACAGTTTTGCAAAGTTCACAAATAACATTGATCAGTCTGAATACAATTTTTTTTAAATGATTGTATCTTCCGCTTGTGTAATAACCAGTGGAGTAGAAAATGCTAGCTACTTAGCACTTAACTTATTGTTTTTGCCATTACTGTTGCCTATAAGTGAGAAGTCTGAGAGTTAGCAACTCCAGATCTGCTTAAGCCTTTTACTAATTCTTCCATAGATTAGAGGCGATTTGAATGTGAGTGTTGATTGGAAAATTGAACTTGATAATAGCATCTTTTACATACATAATAACTATGTATACCCTTCATGTGCCAGGTTGCATTGTTTTTTCTGGGTGTAGCTCAGTGTCAGTGCTTCAAAGCAAATTTTTGGGGTGATGGTGGTGTATTGGCTTCAGATCATACCTCTTGACTATTCAGAATAACCTGTAACTTGTAGGCCTGTGTATATCACAGACCAAGTGTGAACTAGGCATGGCAAAAATTCTGTAATGATACTTTGGGGGTGCATATTTGCCTCTGATCAACAATTATTGTTAGTGCTGATTTTATATACTGTAACTACAATGTACTATATTCCAGCTAAATTATTTGTGCACTTCTAAAAACAATAATGTTTGAAAATTAAATGATAATTATGAAACTAATTTGGTAATTCTCAGTTTTGAATAAAGCCAGAAACTCAGTGCAGCTGTGTTTTTGGAGTACTGACCCTGAGCTGATAAGAGAATTGTACAAATGATTCAGAATGAACTGATAACTTGTGGAAAGACAAAATTAATTGTAGTGTGGTTTAAAATTAATAGTTATTAATATGAATAATACAAACATCTTTTAGCAAAACTAAAATTCATACAGTGAAAATAAGTAGTTAATTCAGAACAAAAAATAGACTCTCAAATTTTTACTAATATCTTAAAGTTTGATATTTTTCTGGACTAATTACACACTTATTTTATCTTTCCACAAGTGTACCTTGGAGTACCTTTTTTCTTACTTCTCGTTCGCCGTTTTCTTTCTTTCTTTCTCTATCCTTCTTTTCTCTCCTTTCTGTTAGATTTTAGCCAACCAAGAACAACATGAAGTTACTTTCATAATTTCCCTTTTTCTTTTCTTTAATTGTTTCTTCTCAATTAGAAATGCATCCATAAATTAAATTATGTAAGATTGCATTATTTTTGTTTCCCCTACTTTTCTTATTTTAATTTGACGTCTTGTCAGGCTCTAGTTTCAGATTTGTAAGGTATTAATAACTGAAGGGTCTCCAGTGAAGTGTTTTAAAATTATTCAATACTGTCTTCAGTATTCAATAATTTTCTAAGTATTGCTAAAAGTTTAAATTTAGTACATAAAAACAAAGCACAAGTTGTAAATATAATTTATTTTTTAGGAACTATTTAAGGTAATGTTAGAAGTTTGAAATGTGCAAATGTTATATTTCTGTGAATAGAAAGAATAGTTAAATTGTTATAAAAATATTTTGGGTAGGTATAGTAAGTTTGTGTTCTGAAAACCAACAGAGTGCTTTGTTAGCAATAATTTACCAGCTAGTGGAATAAATCGCTTTTGTCATTTTTGAATTTCATAGGTACATATATAATCAGGGCAAAGGGAGAAAGGCGACTTAGAATTGAATAAGTCTGTATGGAATTTGGAACAGAATAATAAATCTGTTATTTGATGGCTACAGCATTAGCTTTTTTTTTTTTGTCATTGATTATCATATAATGACTAGCATCTCTTTTTTTATTTTGTTTCTGTAGACTTCTCAGTGAAGTACCCGGATTGATGCCTTTATTGCATTCCTCTTTGCATTTTTAAGATTTATATCTGGAGACTTGAGTGGTGTACTGAAGACTAGTGACGAGTGATAGAACACAATATGTGCTGCATATATATTTGTTATACATGCTATTTAATATCTAAACACAATATTGTTTCTTCTGCATTCTGTTTCTGTGGATTTAATATTATAACATCACAGCAAACTGCAATAGACTTGAAACTGTGATTTCGTGGATATTACTTAAATGTAATTAGTTTATGATATATGTTTTTGTACATCTTGTAGATACAAAGTCAATGGGGTATTTGCAAAGATATCTCATGTTGAGCAGTGTACAAATTACAGTCAGGTACTGTTTGAAGACATCTGTGATTTTAATTTCCCTTCTTTGCTATACACTGTTTTCTTTTGAAATGTATATTAAAAGTTGTTGTATATTTACCAAATATATGTAGTAAAGTACTTAAATTATTTTAATATTTTGTAGTTTTGTGACTATGCCTAAACTTGAACTTGTAAGTTGAGATTCCTAAAGTCTACGTCTTGTGCAACTTTTTGTCTGTTGGCTATAAGAGGTGCAAACGGATCGAATTAAGTTTTGTAATCGTGTACCTCTTTTGTAATTAGTCCATTATAACAGCAGAATAACAGTTCACACTGCCGTGAATTTAAAGTAAAGTGGACCAAAAAAAAAAATGGGCAAGAGAGCTGACCTTGTGAAAGAGATGAATAAAGTCTATTTATGTCCACTTGTGGAACACCTATGCTATGTCTGCAGGGCTCTTCTGAAGTGCAAATTGAGAGGTCTACAAATGCTGCAAAGTTGTGCAGCAATGCTGTGCAGCCAGACAAAAAAAACTCCCCGATGTTAGTTTTGTTAAATGCTGCAATACAGTGAGGAAGAACAACCTTGAGTCCATTTTGGATAAACTTCGTACTTCTTTTAAGGTAGAGATATCTAACATTGCTAAGGTGGCTCTGGGCATTAATTGAGGCCACTGCAGTGCCTCTGACTCGAAGTTCAAGATCGATGTTTCAAGTCCCAAGGCAGGATTTTTGACAATAGTTAGATATCTAGGGTGAGTTCAGTCGCTGTCTGGAAGAGAGCAGACTTTACTTTTAGCAGCCAGTTACTCTGATGGGTCATTTTCCATGGTTTCCCTGATAAACACCATGCCAATGCCAAAGCAGCAGTACCTCTACAAAGGGCCACAGACCAAACGCAACCGTTCCTTCCTCTTCTTTGTCCTATCCTCGCTCCTTGCTCACATTTACACTAACATGCACTCTACTAGGACCCAGCTGGGGCAGTGACCCACTGGAGAGATACCTGGGTAGAGGAAACCCCGCAAGCTGACGAGTAACTCATTGCTGGATCTCACCACCCAGAGGGGGAGTTCACTGCCACTTCACATGATAAAAACATGCCCTATATTTATGGGACTAATGACAGCCGTTGATGTGCTCGGAATCACTAATTAATAATAACATCATTGATTCTGCTGGTCTTAGGACCGCATCCACACTTGACCTTGTTAACAAATAGACTAACTTATCAGATCATGTGGGAATAGTGATATTTGCCCAGCGAAATAAAAAACTTATCATATAAATTACTGAATGTAATTTTTTTTTGATCTGGCAGAGAATGTGGAGCAGTGGCAGGAACATTTCTGCATATACATCACATCTAAACTCGCCAGGTAACAAATGAGATTTAAACATATCAAGTTATATGGAGGTGGAGATACTACATCAGAAGGTTGGTCTGGAAAGGGACTTATTGAAAGAATGTATCAGTAGATACATATGTTGTTGTTGGTTGTTGTTTGGTTTTTTTTTGTTTTTTTTTTATAATTTGGGTCATGTTTGTGCATTTAGTCATGGTATTTATCATGTTCTTCAATTTTATATTTAAACATTCTGAAATTAATCTTGATCTTACTCTTTTCTACTAGCAGAACACGTCAGAGGTCCTGCCCTCCACATCCCTCCTTTTCTCTCTTTTTCTCTCACCTGTGTGTGTGTCTCTCTCCCCTCTCTCTCTCTCCACCTCTCTCTCTCTACTCCTCTCTCCTCTCGCTCTCATCTTCTTCTCTCTCTGCCTCTCTCTCCTCTCCTCTCTCCTCTCTCTCTCTGCCTCTCTCTCCCTGCCTCTCTCATCTCCTCTCTCTCCTCTCCTCTCTCTCTTCTCTCTCCTCATCATCTTTCCTCTCTCTCTCCTCTTCTCTCTCTCTCTCTCCTCTCCTCGTCTCTCTCTCCTCTCATCTCTCTTCCCTCTCAATATCTCTCTCTCCTCTCTTAATCTCTCTCATCTCTAATCTCTCTCTCCATCTCTATCTCTCCTCCTCTCTATCCTCTCTCCTACTCATATCTCTCTCTCTCTCTATCCTCTCATCTCCTCATCGTTATCTCTCTCTCAGAACAAAAACGCAGGCAAATGACGCACCCTCAGTCATATCTCACTCTCCTCTCTATCATCTCCTCTCACTAGCTACACCTATCTCCTCTCTCACTCTCTATCTCCTGGATCTCTCGCCTCTCTATCTCTCTCTCCTCTCTATTCTCTCTGCCCTCCTCTATCTCTCTCTCCTCTCTAATCATCTCTCTCCTCTATCTCGTCTCTCCTCTACTATCGCTCTCTCCTCTCTATCCTCTCACTATCCTCTCTATCTCTCTCTCCTCTCTACTCTCTCTCCCTCTCTAGTCTATCTCTACTCTCTATTCTCTCTCCTCTCTATCTCTCTCTCCTCTCATATCCTCTCTCTCTCCTCTATCTCCTCTCCTCTCTATCTCTCTCCTCCTCTCTATCTCTCTCTCCTCTCTATCTCTCTCTCCTCTCTATCTCTCTCTCCTCTCTCTCTCCTCTCTCTCTCCTCTCTCTATCTCTCTCTCTATCTCTCTCTCGACTGCACAAAAGACAGAGACACCATATCCAGTCGCAACTCAAAACAAATTTAGTGATTTAAGTTATAAAACTAATTTTCCTCGCCTTCCGGATTCTAACATCCCTTTTTAGCCATCGACAAATACATGCACAAACCAAAGTTAACAGGCTAGAAAGCGCGTCAAAACCAAAAAACGTAAAGCTGCGCATTCTAGCCCACTCGTAAACAAAGACATTCCTGCTGAGCCTAAAATACCAGTACTTATTTTAGCTGACTGCCATGGCCGCCATCTTTCATCCATTCTTAGTAGGAAGTTACCCTCCCACTACTCAGTCTCATCTATTTTGAAACCTAACGGGAGGTTTGCAGACGTGACTACAGAGTTGGGCACCCACCCAAAGACATTGACCAATCAGGACACAGTCACAATCATGGGAGGGCAGAATGACATTAATTTGGGCGGTAACTTTACACATGAACAACATGTAAAATTAAAACGCGCCGCCCAAAACACTAACATTGTAGTCTCGACTCAGCCTTTCTGGTACAACAGGCCAACACTATGAGTGAGAATAAACACGCAAACCAACAATTAAAACTGCAACTGAGAGAAACAAATCTTACACTTTCTGAAATGAACCCACTTACCTCCTCCTCTGATCCTACTACCACTACCAATTCTCCTACACCTGATGTCTCAGTTTCCTCACAACCTGTCACTGCCGGGACACACGACAACAAGACTGAGTTTACCGAGGCAGCGATTATTGTAGAGAAAAGGAATCGTATAAAGGTCCTGCATATAGGAGTTCTTGCATTTACGATAGAAATAGTATCGATTCTATCTAGTAAATGTAGCTTAACTATGCGCACGTTTTGTTGAACTCTCCTTGTGCTTGTAATGATTGGAGTTGAGGTAAGGGCAAGTTACTGTTTTGTTAGCAATGCAGAACATACAATCTGCAGTTCGTTTACTGTTGCAAATAAGTTTTCTATTACACAGGAACAAAAATGTTTAGTTTTTCAAATGTCGCTAAACTCACGCGTTTTTTAAATTTCATTTTTATTTATTGGGAAGGGATTCGGGAACTCATGAAAACGTGCGCGGATTACCTTTTCCCCCATACGTCACATACAGCTTTTACTGTTTTTGGACAAAATAAATCTAAATCGCCTAGACCGAATTAAATGTGTATTCGAAAAAACGGCGAATTTTCCGCAGGAAAATTCATTACAGGACCCTGGCAATGAAAAAGTATAAATCCAGCTCACGACGCACGCTTCTGTGTCACTTGGCTTCCTCGCTCGTTCTCCGCCCGTCCAACCGTGTATTCGACCGCTAAACAAGCGGCGTCACCCACGCACGCGTTTCCCATTCCTAAAATGGTTTCTTCAGATCACGTCGGAATTCGCACCGCACTTTCCGAAACGGCGTTATGGCTGAATAGAATAGTTGGTGACACGATGAATATGACACTTACTTCGCTCGGAATTCACTTCGACTGCTCTCCTTAAATTTTATGAGACTGAGTTTGTCCACGGGAAAAAATATTTCACCCGTTGGTTCTTCGCTCTTACCTTGGTATGGAAACCGGTTAAGAATGAGCCAAAATGACAGTTCGCTAAACAAGTGAATATCACATGTAAATCAGAATCTGTTCTTATATTGTAACGTTTCTCGGTGGTGAATTAAAACGCACGCAGGTAAAATTAACAAAAACGTTAATTTTGTTTCTTAATACTACACTAAAACTACTTGATCTATTTACAGATATATTACACAGTCCTTGACTTCTTCATTTTTTTTTCCTTACACACGACTCCGTTCTCTTGATTATTTATTTACACTGTTCACTTCTTCTACACTATCGCACAGTCCGCTGCACTGCGCCGACCACACTTCACTGAGCCGACCAGGGTCCACTGCACTGCTGTTTACCGCGATGCACACTTCACAGCTCAGTTTCCACTTCAGACAGACTACTGCATACTCACATGACGAACTGACATCTTAGTACTACTTACTGATGACTAGCGGCCGCCGGCAGCGGCGAATTTATATCTGGCCGGCGCTCGCCTCGAGCCATCGGCAACGTACGCAACTTTTCTACGCGACTCGTGAATAACCCGGAACTGTCCAGTTCGGGGGAAGGGGGGGGGGGCGCCGGCAGATGACGCAATCCGCGCAGCGAATTCCGGCAGGTGATGCAATATTCGTTACAATATATAGCTGCGACAGCTGTTCAGCCACGCCTCTTCGTAAAGGGTCTATGTTTGTACAATGAGCGCAAGTTTTCTTGATATTCCACAGCGGTGTGTGCGGGAGAGGAGGGCTCTGGCTACGCCACGTCTTAAAAGGGCGTACCAACTGTCGGCATGAAATTAAGGCGCCAAAGCGTGCCTAAAGAATCGATTATTTTGAAAGTGCGAGGTGGTTGTTGCCAGTACTGTAAATTGGTTCGTGCTGTTTCGAGTCGAACCTAAGTATCTCAACATGCCGTGCTATTCAGCGGTGGGTGAGGACTAGGGAGCTCGTGTATCAAGAAAATCGTGCGAGTAATACATGGTTCCCATAAAGAC